TCATACACACACTCATACACACATACGCTTATACACACACACTCATACACACACGCACACACACAGCACACACACTCATACACACACACACACACACACACAGCACACACACTCATACACACACACACACACACACACACACAGCACACACACAGCACACACACTCATACACACACACGCTTACACACACACATTCATACACACACACGCACAGCACGCACACTCATACACACACACACAGCACACACACTCATACACACACACGCTTACACACACACATTCATACACACACACACACACACACACACACAAACACACACATGCTGAGAGTAGGTCTTAGCTGGTTTATCTCTGACCTGTGGCCTCTATATATGCATTGTCTCTCCCTCTCTCTCTCTCTCCCTCTCTTTCTCTCTCTCTTTCTCTCTCTCTCTCCCTCTCTCTCTCTCTCCCTCTCTTTCTCTCTCTCTTTCTCTCTCTCTCTCCCTCTCTGTTTCTCTTTTTCCCTCCCTGTCCATCTCTCTCTCTCTCTCTCTCTCTCTCTCTCTCTCTCCCCTATATATAGTCTGTAATCTGGATTGTGAGATTAGGAGAGTGACATCATCACATCAGATTAGGTAGCTCTCTGACAGGAAGCGCATCACTTGGGAGGCGGGGTTTGACCATTTGGTGCATATTGATTGGCCACTACAGGAGAGCAGGATTCCCCACTGACAACAGAACCAGTTCACACACACAGATACACACACACACACACACACACACACTGCAACACACACACACACACACTCACACACACACACACACAAACACTCAGATAAAAATGAAAACCGTGGGACAAATTAAACGCGTCCTGTGCAAAAGTTATGGCACATTTTATGTTTTATGTTTTCCCTATTATAATAATAATAATGAAATAATAATAAGAAGAAGAAAAAAATGAATTTATATAGCTGTTTATGTGAGGAGTAAACCGTCAACTCACGGACTCACGCTTAACTGACTCACCACTCGATTCGGACTCACGCTTAACTGTCTCACCACTCGACTCGGACTCACGCTTAACTGTCTCACCACTCGATTCGGACTCACGCTTAACTGACTTACCACTTGACTTGGCCTCACGCTTAACTGACTCACCACTCGACTCGGACTCACGCTTAACTGTCTCACCACTCGATTCGGACTCATCCTTAACTGACTTGCCACTTGACTAAGAATCGTGATGAACTGACTCACTCCTTGACTAGGAATTTTGCTTAACTGAATTGCAAGTCGACTTGGATTCATGTTTAATTGCCTCAGACTTTCACTTTGCTGACTTGCCACTCAACTCAGACTCACGCTTAACTGACTCACCACTCGACTGAGACTCTGACTCACCACTCAACTCGGATTCACACTTAACTGACTTGCCACTTGACTCAGACTAATGCTTGACTGACTCAACACTTGACTAAGAATTGTTCTTAACTGACTCACCACTTGATTTTGACTTGTGCTTTACTGACTTAACACTTAACTAGGAATCATGCTTAAATTCACACTTGAATTCACACTTAACTGCCTCGGATTTGCTCAACACTCGATTCAGACTTATGCTTGACTAACTCGCCACTCAACTCAGACTCACGTTTAACTGACTCAGACTCGTTCTTAGCTTTTACTGCTGACTGTAATGGTGGAATAAACACAATGTTGTCCACAGAACACTAACAGAGTGCAGAGCGTCTGATCTTTATTCCACCTTAAATAATCAATCCTCACTGACGCTCTCCTCTGATAATCATCCGATTCCGCCGCTCTCACTGCGGCAGTGTGTTCATGTCATGTTGGTGCACTGCAGTGTTTTTTACCATGAAAACAGAGGTTTTTAATGCCAACATGTAAACCGAGCTTTACAGTGTCGCTGTACTAACTGTGTGTGTTTGTCTTTGCAGATATTCAGGAGTTTTATGAACTCACAGTGTTTGAAAATCAGTCGTCTGACCAGCCGCAGACGCCAGGCCTGCAGGTAAGAGAGAGAGAGAGAGAGAGAGTCAGTGCTGTGAACGAGGCAGTAAAGATTTCAATATTGAAAATGAAATGTGTGTAAATGTGATGGTGTTTCACTGAGACCTCTGTCTGTGATCTCTGTGAGGGGTTTTTGTTGGAAGGTGGCCCTGCAGGAGCTTTAAAGGTTCTATTGGAGATCTTTTCTTTTATCTGGTCTGTGTGGAACAGAATTAGAGCTCTGCAGAACCATTTTTAACATACAAACTATGGTATACTGTTAATGTAAACATGTGCCCCTAGTGGACGTGTATGTAAACTGCCTGTGTGGTGCAAATGCTAATATATTAACACAAATATATGATTGTAAGACACAAAGTCAGGCACTCCTTAATGTTGGAGTGTGGAATAGAGAACGAACCGCAGTGAATCAAATGAAATTCTGATATTTGGTGTATCGATACGCTCCTGGTTGTGAAGGTACATCAGCGAAGCGGTCTGGAACGGCGGTCGGCATCATGCAGCTCCTTTATGCACTTTATATGCACACTGCATGGCATGACGCGACTCGACTCACTTTTAGGACCAGCTGCTTCGTTTTTCACTGCAGAGTTAGCGCCCCCTCAGTGTAGCTGGTCGTCATAACGACACCAAATGAAGCTGCCGTGAAGTGAAGGAGACAAATTGTGTTCAGAAGAGGCAGCGAGACAAAAGACTGCAGAAGAAAAACAGGAGAGTTTGGGAAAAACAACATCAGAGTTCAGATGACGAGACCATTCTGGCTGCTTAAAGGGGACGCAAGAGGCTACGCTAACCTGGTAGCTAACGTTAGCCAATGTGTTTAGCGATTCTCTCCAACCAATCAGCAGTCGGCAGGGTTTTTACGCCACCTTTTGGTATCGGCTCAGCTCGCTTGGAACCTCGACAGTGGTGAAACCAAAAGAAGTCCAGGTTTGCCTGATGGAGAACCAAAAAAAGGCGAGTAGATTCGAGTCGAGTTGAGTTGAGCTGCTACCGTTTAGTGGAAAAGTGGCTTTACCGCCCCCTTGAGGCTCCACAGCAGAATTAGATTTGCAGGTAAAAATAAAATTATTAAATTAATATTAAATTTGAAGTAAAATAAAGATGCTGATCATTCTAACACAGTTTTAACAATAAACGCTGGAGTTAATGTAGAACTGCTAAATCACCCTTTACCCCGGACTGCTGGTCACCATAGCAACGCAGACATCAGTGTCGCCTGGCTAGCAGCTAACGGAACGATTCAAGATGAACGTTGATAAATTAGAGAGGAATGGACACTCGTTTGCATTTATACGCACTCCAGTTGTTTTCCTGAATCGTCACTCGACTCAGACTTGTGCTTAACTGACTTGCCACTTGACTCATAGTAACACTTAACTGACTCACTGCTCGACTCAGACACCTGCCACTTCACTCAGAATTGTGCTTAACCGATTCAACAATTGACTCTGAATTGTGCTTAATTGACTCACCACTCGATGCTTAACTGACTCGCCAATGACTCAGACTCATGCTTAACTGACTTGCAACTTGACTCAGAGTTACCCTTAACTGACTCAACACTTGACTAGGAATCGCGCTTCACTGACTCGCCACTCGACTCGGACTCATGCTTAACTGACTCACTGCTTGATTCTCACTCATGCTTAACTACCTCGGCAGTTGACTTGGACTCATGCTAAACAAGCTCACCTAGCTAGTAGCTAACAATGTGGTAAATGACAAAGAAGAAAAGATTCAAGACGAGAAATTGGAGAGGAGTGGACGCTCGTCTGCGTTTATAATTAGTCCAGATATTTACATGATACGTTTAATCTGCAACGAGAAACGAGAAAGAGTCGAATGAAACATTTTAAAAGAAACTGTTCTACTTTTCTGGAAAAGGATCCTGCTGGAGATGTGGGAAAAGCAGCTATAGCTGCGCTAAAGCATAGAACAAAGTACGTCTGCCTTTTCATTCATATTTTATTATATTATGTTATATTATATTATATTATATTATATTATATTATACTATATTTTTAGCCTATACTAGGACGTCAGCACATTCTCAGACATACTTACAGCCAAGATATTAAAGCGTTACACCAATAAAATGGACGTAAACTGTTGTGGCTCTCAAGGTGGTCCAGTTTTTTGTAGAAACGGGTCTAAACGGCTCTGCTCAGCATTTTGGTTGTCGAGCTCTGAGCTACAATAAACACACACACAGTGACGCTGTCTGCAGCCATCACCACAGCAACACCCCAGCATGGCGACGGTCTCCATGGCAACAAACGCACACTTGCCAGAGCAACAGCTGTTGGCTGCCATGACAACAGTCACCCTCCATTTCTCTCACACACTCACACACACGGTTTCTGTCTGAACCTCTCTCTCTCTCCCCTTCTCTCTCTCTATGTCTCCCTCTCTCTCTCTCCCCTTCTCTCTCTCTATGTCTCCCTCTCTCTCTCTCTTATTTCTCTCCCCTCCTCTCTCTCTCTCTCTTCTTCTGTCTTATTTCTCTCTCTCTCTCTTTCTCATATAAATCCAGCCAATCCAGTCTCCCATTCACCCCTGCCTTCTCTCTTTCTCTCTCTCCCTCTCTCTCTCTCTCTCTCTCTCTCTCTCTCTCTCATATAAATCCGGCCAATCCAGTCTCCCCATTCACCCTTTCTTTTCTCTTCCTCTCCCTCCCTTACTCACCCCTCATTTTCTAACCACCTCTCTCTCCTTCCTTCTCTCTCCCTCTCTCTGTATCCCCTCCCTCTTTTGCTTCATTCTTCCCTCCTCCTTCTCTCTCTCTCTCTCTCTCTCTCTCTCTCTCTCTCTCTCTCTCTCTTTCTCTCTGGCTCGTGTGAGCGTGAGAGTGTGTATGCGTGTGTGTGTGTGTGTGTGTGTGAGTGAGTGAGTGAGTGAGTGTGTGTGAGACGTGTCGTGGAGAAGAAGGCTCTGGCAGTCAGACGGAGGGAGGGAGAGGGGGAGGGGGGGAGAGAGAGAGAGAGAGAGAGAGCATCACCTGGCCTCTCTCAGTCCTACCATGGACTGCCTCTGCATAGTGACCACCAAGGTAAGAGAGCACGTCTGAGAGCATGAGCGAGCGAGAGAGAGTGTGTTACAGCATCTGCACGGGGGGATCGAGTGTGTGTGTGAGTGTGTGTGTGTGTGTGTGTGTGTGTGTGTGTGTGTGTGTGTGTGTGTGTATGTGGGGGGGATCATTCCGTTCTCGTTCTTGTTCTCTCTCTTCCTCTCGGTTGCTGGTTTCCTGTGTCTGTGCTGTGCTGGACGGCTCCGTTACACTGGAGGTGCTGTGAGTGTGTGTCTGTGCGACTGTGTGTGTGTGTGTGTGTGTCTGTGTGGCTGTGTGTGTGTGTGTGTGTGATGCGTGGTGTTCCGGGTCTCGGTCCATGCGGTGGTGGTAACCGTAGCGATCCTTCGATGTGTTGCTTCTTCAGTGTGAGGGAGGACTTTATGTAACACACACACACACACACACACACACACATATATATATATATATATATATATATATATATATATGTATGTATATATATTTGTCTTATAGCTGCATCATACATGTTGTCTTGTAGTTGCATCATACCTTAATGCCAGTGGCTGTACCTACTGAGGCATTTACACAACTGCTGATAATGATATGTTTAATATATACATATATACACACATAGCTATTACATATATGTATCACTGTTGTCAGAAGAAAACCTCAGATCTCCCAGAACTTCCAGGTAATTTTGGCCATATTTTTTGATCCATTCATCAATAAATATACACATGATGTAAAGGGCAACAGGCATTTTCAAATTATGATAAAAACTGAAAAATGTAGTACATACATCTGAGAAAAACCTCATACTTTTGAAATACCGTGTAATCCCCAGTTGCCCTTTACAGTGTGTCAAACTGAATGAACAGAATTAATAGAATTAAAAATAGAATTATATATAGTCATAATAATAATTGTTATTCAGTAGTAACTCACAGTCTAGATTGAATTCTATAAAATAGACATCAAATCTTATATTACTTAATTCAGTTTATAGTATTTTGGGCATAATATAAAGCTTGGTAAAAAATATGGAAGTGTTATTAAATAAAAAGCTTTAATTTTCTGATTATTGTAAACACTCTGAGTCATTGTGGGTATCAGTGTTATTATCAGTTCAGTCTCAATGCTGCACAGATTTATCGGTTATCCTGAAATCGTTCACAGCTATAAATATAGTCCTTCATCAGTGGTCACAGGACGCTGCCCACAGGACGCTGCCCACAGGACGCTGTTGGCTGGATGTTTTTGGTTCTCAGTCCAGCAGCGACACTGAGGTGTTTAAACACTCCAGCAGCACTGCTGTGTCTGATCCACTCAGACCAGCACAACACACACTAACACACCACCACCATGTCAGTGTTACTGCAGTGCTGAGAATGACCCACCACCCAAATAGTACCTGCTCTGTGAGGGTCCATGGGGGTCCTGACCACTGAAGAACAGGATGCAGAGAAACAGATGGACTACAGTCTGTAACTGTAGAATTACAGAGAAAGAGACTATATGGTCAGTGGAGCTGATAGAGTGGACAGTGAGTACACGCGTACATGTTTGTGTATATACATTGAGAATGTGCTAAAGGTTGTTTAATGTGAAAAGAAAAGTCAGGTCAACTTAAATGTTGAGCTGTTTTTAAGTGAACCTACCTCCACTAAAATCTAGTGCAGTAAAGCTGCCTTAAGATTTCAGTTGGTCTGAATTTCCTTTTTCAGTGTATTTGCATGTTTAGCCAGACGTGCACTGAAGATAGCCGTCGTTTCCAGAGGAGCTGAGTTAGGTGTGTGTCGACTGCAGAGCAGGCCGGAGCTTCACACCCTGCAGAAACATCTGAAACTGCTTTTGAAAGTGTTTGCAGAGTGTTAGCTACAGTTAGCATGGCCGCATTATCTCAGATCGACGTTTCTCATTAAGGCCTCTTTATAAAATGCTTTTCCTCTGTAGTTCAGCTCTTCAGCACATACAGCCAGGTGTCCAGGCTGAAGCCAGTCATGTGTCTGGCCTACACACCTGATCTACTCTGACCAGTGTGATACAGGAAGCTGACTTTCATTGAGAGTATCTGTGCAGCACATATCATCACTATAATCACCTATCAGTCATATTTGATCCATAGTTCTTTCATCTATTTCATTCGGATCAGTAACATTCAGCTACATCTAAGGTTAGAGGGGCTAACACAGATGGGGCTGGTGAGCTAAGGCTACTGGATTAGTAAGGAATAGCTATAGCTGTGGGTTAACACAGCTAGCACTGGTAAGGGTTAGCTATAGCTAAGGCTACTGTGGGTAACAGAGTCAGGATTATTGAGGATTAGCTACAGCTGAGGGTAGAGGTAACACAGTTATGATCACGTAGGGGTAACACGGCTAGAGCTAGTGAGGGTTAGCTATGCTAGGGCAAGTGGGTAACACAGAGTCAGGATTAGTTGGATTAGCTATAGCATAGAAGGGCTGACACAGGTAGCGCTAGTCAGGGTTTGCTATAGCTAAGGCTGCTGTGGGTAACAGAGTCAGGATTAGTTGGATTAGCTACAGCTGAAGGTAGAAGTGGTAACATGGCTAGAGCTAGCGAGGCTTAGCTATAGGCCTAAACAATTAGGGCTACTTAGGATTATAGCTAATGCTTGGGTAACAGTTAGCTTTGTGAGGGTTAGCTATAGCTACAGCTAGTGAGGGTTAGCTGTAGGCTAGTGTGGGTAGCCTGCAGTTAGAGCTAGCAAGGGTTTGCTTTACCTAAGGTTAGTGTTGCTAATAAGCAGTTAGGGCTACTTAGGGTTATAGCTCATGCTTATGTGGGTAACAGTTAGCCTTAGTGAGGGTTAGCTATAGCTAAAGCTAGTGTGGTTAACACACAGTTAGTGCAAGCAAGCTACAGGTGGCTATTAGCTATAGTACGATTTTTGAGAGCAAGGTTTTTGTTGGAGTGGCAAACTGAAAAAAGTGATGAGTTGTTTTTTTCTCTCTTATTCACTAAATCTGTCTGTCATTTCCACATGAATAAAATATTACATCAACACAATTATTGCCAAAAGTAAACGGACAGACCAATGAGGTAAAATATGAAATGCTGAGATATTTTACTTGATTCAAATCAATTTTGATGAAAATTAAAGTAAATTAAATTAAATATTTTTCTCAGTGGACAACATTAAGAGAACATTTCATACAGACAGACCACAAGAGCTGATTAATAAAACTGACCGCTACAGGTTATACACGAGTCTAGTGATTGGAAAGCTAGAGCTAGCCAGTAAGGACTGTGAGGTAAACTACAACACAGTCCACATATTGAACTGTAAAAATAAATCATTTAAAATTAATCATAAAGAATTTATGATGCAGTTTACAGAGCAGCACTGCTGAAGAGCACATTCACTGACCTGCTTCACATTAGAAATACAGCATCATCAGGCTCTTATTGGTAACTACTCTGATGGCAGATTTTCACTGTTGGCATAATTAATACTTTATTAATGATGGTTGGCTGTGTCACTTTCCATACTTCATCCTAGGGTGGCACTGACCACCTCTGGCCACCCCCTGGCTACCTCTGAGTGAGAGGTTTAGAAGGTTACTGCACAGTGTTTGAACTTAAAAAGTAATCTGGTTTCCTTAAAATTCAGTTCATTAAACTTTTAATACTTTTTTTATGTTAAAACACTGAATCATTTTGTTCAGTGTGAGAGTTCGGGAGAGTTGGATTAGTGGATGATTTGCTAGGGTTGGTTGGCGTTAGAGAGAGTGAAGTAGGGCTGTTTAGAGCATCAGTGTTAGTCCAGCTCCTGTTCTGCTCTGCTGTTGGTCACTCCTCTCACTTTGGAGCTTTAGTGCTTTATTTTCCACCAAAACGATCCAAAAAGGGAAGAACAGAGTCGTGCAGACTTCACTTCCTGTGCTGAGAGATGCTGGATGGAGCGTTAAGTTCTACTGCAGTTCTACTGGGGAACTTCGGCCTCCAGGAGTTCTCTGAGCTCAGACCTTTGTACTCCTACTCTAGCTGTTTTTCGCTGGGCTACTTTTACGTCTTTGTGAGTCACTGTTTCAATTAAGTAACAATATTTTCCGTTGCGTAAGGGTTTAGTCTACTCCACCCACTTCGGCCGTATACACAATGGAGTTCTGTACATTCTGATCATTTAGTCATGTTTATAGAGCAGCTCTATCTACAGATATCATAATGATGAGAGGAAGTGCAGCGAGATTAACACTCAGCTTTAAGCCCTCTGGTTCCTGCTGATGAAGCCTGACCCACTGGGACTCTCTGGGTATGAGGCGCTAGTGAATGAATTAGTTTTGCAGTTGAAACAGTGTTGCAGTTATATGGTTGTTATATAAGTTTACTGTACGTTTAACCAGGAATATCTCCAGATTCACAGCTTTAAAAAGTACTTATTTGATCAAATCTGGGATCGTTCTTCATTATTAAAGAGTTCATTACATCCAGCCTGAATGTGTTGACTGTTTGCTCTCCGGCGTCGACCAGAGGAGGATGGGTTCCCCTTCTGAGTCTTGGTTCCTCTCAGTGTTTCTTCCTCTTGCTCTTAGGGAGTTTTTCCTGCCACTGTCGCCATTGGCGACGCTCATGGGGGCTCAGACCCGGATTTTTCTGTAAAGCTGTTTTGTGACAACACCTTTTGTAAAACACGCTAAATAAATAAACTTTGTTTGCTTGCTAAATTGGAAACTTCTCAGCTGATCTGTTGTTGCTACTAATATTAGTGTGTTTTTTTAGGACTATCAAAAAAGTAAAATCATTGTTCAAATCATATATACAGTCATATATCAAATATACAGCCAATCAGTGTATATATCGTATAGTCAAGTGTATGTATCATACGTCATATATACAGTCAATGAGTGTCCATATTGTAATATATAGTCCGTGAGTGTATATATTATATATACTGCATATGTAGTCAGCGAGTATATATATCACATGTATCATATATTGTCAGTGTATGTCATATATACAATGAATGTCCATATCATATACATCTCATGAAA